CCACGTGGCGCATGCTACCGGCGCCCGTATCATGGAAGGCGTATAGAAAATCTGAAGCGGGCGGCCCTCCCGCCTGTTTTTTGGTGAGTTCGGCCTGGGCAACGCGCTTTGTCGTTAAAATAGGGCTGTGGACAGATGGCTTTGCAAATTAGCGACATGGTCCCTCCATAACCCGGTAACCTTGTCACCCTATAACCCTATAACCCTAGAACCAAAAAATGAGCAGTAGAGCTTGGCAAGCAAGCAGGTCCCCGACTCCATTTGCACGATAAAGGTCGGCTCTGGTATTTGGATGGCTCCCACATGGCAGGGAGGGGTGTAGGGTTTAGGGTTTAGGGCTTGGGGTTTAGAGTTTGGGGTTTAGAGTTTAGTGCTTACGGTTTAGGGTTTAGGGATGTTTAGGAATTAGGGTGAATCTCCTTGTAGCAATTTGTAGCATGACAGGGATTCGTTGGGAGAACCTCGATGCAAAATGCTGTTAGGAACTGCACGGAGTCAACAGCTTCCGCTGGAACACCTACTGTACACGGGCTGCGCAATGGAACGCCAGATTTGTGGCTCGAGAATCAACCCCCCTCTTGCTGGGTTTCAGGCCTTTGTGCAGTCCAGGTCTTTGTCAGCGATTTTCAGCTCCTCCCACACATGGCATGAATCATCTAATCCGATTGAACATTCAAAAGCGGACTTCTCCTGGCGGAGCATTGCGATGACAGTTTCTTGCCATCGCACGGTGGCTTCAAGCTCCTGGCTGAAAACAACCCTAAACCCTACACCCTAAACCCTAAGCCCTAAACCACAAACCTGGGGCGCATCCAGGGGCACCATCCAGTTGCGACTTCTGCCGATTGTTGGCTTAACGCTGGCACCTCGAGATTTAGGTGCTTTCAGCGTATCACGAATGCATGCATGCTCACCAAACCGGGAAAAAGTTGTAGTGGGACTTGAGAACTCCACGAAAGGCAACCGGTGTAATGTGACGAGGTGATGCAACCATGATTGCAACATGCTTCTCTTACCACAACACAAAAAAAACCTACCACGACAGCAGGGCGCAGCACCTACAGTGATAAGAAAAAGCACATTCCTTTTTCCTCGGCCTGTTTGCTCGCTCGCTAAAAATATAAAAGCTTGAAGCTTCGCCCCCCCGGTAACAAGTTCCTTCCGCTCTGAGGGCTCTTTGCAGGTTTCAGAGCTAGAGCGGAAGAACTTGTCCACGCCCCCCCCCCGCCCCCCCTGTGAACAAGTTCTTCCTGAGGGCTCTTTGCAGGCCCCAGAGCCTGGAGAGCGGAAGAACTTGTCCACCCCCCCCTTCCTGTGAACAAGTTCTTCTGCTCTGAAAACTCTTTGCAGGCCCAGAGCCTGGAGAGCGGAAGAACTCGTCCACGCCCCCAGTTCTTCCGCTCTGAAGGGCTCTTTGTAGGTTCAGAGCCTGGAGGGCGGAAGAATTTGTCCACGCCCTCCCCCCCCTCTGTGAACAAGTTCTCCGCTCTGAGGGCTCTTTGCAGGCCCCAAAGCCTTGAGAACGGAAGAACTTGTCCACGCACCCCCCCCCCCCCGTGAACAAGTTCTTCCGCTCTGAAGGCTTTTTGCAGGCCCCAGAGCCTGGAGAGCGGAAGAACTTGTCCACACCCCCCCCCCCCCTGTGAACAAGTTCTTCCGCCCTGAAGGGCAGGCTCCATGGAGAGCGGAAGAACTTGTACAAAATCGAGCCAACTCCACTATACTCCACTCCACAACCAGAGAGCAGACAGCAACGAGCAGACAGACAGTAACGAGACCCAGAAAATGTTTCATGGTATTCACGAGGAATGCTTATCATAGTTTTTTGGGATTAGTTGTGGCTGGGCTGGACCCCCCTGTGGGTGTAAAGGGCCCATACTACAGGAATCTATAACGATGAAAGGGAAGCCCTAAGCCCCAGCCATCGTTCATCTTCAGGACATCAAAAATTCGGGACCTTAGCATGCACCGGAGCGCGTGTGCGTGTGCACACGCGAATGCGTTTGTGCTTGCACATGTGCGTTTGTGTGTGCTTGCGCGCGCGCATCCGCGGCAGGCAAAAAAACAGGAACCCCACACGGTGACGAGGGGAAAATCTCTTTGGACCCCACCTAAACCCTAAACCCTAAACCCTAAGCCCTAAACCCTAAACCCTAAACCCTGGCCTTGATGTAGGAGGCCAAACCTCCGTTGTGCCGGTGAAGCCGAAGAAGTCTGCCACTGCCGAGGCTACGCACGCCATGGCACAGGAGGAAGCTCTCAACCTCACACCGAAAAGCTCTAAACCCTGAACACCTCAGACGCTGAAAACCATCAACCCAGTGTGGAGGGCGGCGAGCACGTTTTTTTTTTGGGTGTTTGCTGCCTCTAGCAGGCCAGCGCTGGCATGCAAGGGGGTGCTGGACTATTCCTTCGGCACCCCCTGAATTCAGGGTCTAAAGGGTTTAGGATTTTCGGGTTTAGGGCTCGTTGTCAGATGTTGTCAGTTTCTGTTGGGCATGCGCCGGTGCGTAGGCTGGAATGGGGGGGGGGAGGGTATTCTTACGGCGTGAGATTTGAAAGATCCGCGCACCTAAATTGTGAGCCCCCAAAACGGTGACCCTGTGACCCCGCGAAGAAACCTTGAGGGAACCCTCATTTCAGGCCCCGAGCGGAGCCCCCTAACCCAAAGTAGCACTCTCCAGAACCTGGAGCCCACCAATCAGGTCCCAAAAAGCCGCGAGCAGCTTTAATGAGCCCATGCATGGCCTCGGCATCCCGGCACCCTTGTGATGCTGCACATCCATATCGCTATCCCCATTCTAGAAACCTGGCTCGGCCTCATGGGCTCAGCAGTTCGTCGTCCTTGCGGCCTTTGCTTTTCGGCGACCGCTCTAGTGGATCTAACAGTCGCCCCCGTCCATGAGCTGCCGGGCAATCTTGCGCAGCCTCTGATGTCTACACAAGTGGCATTTGTTTATTATGAAATGCCCAAAACAACCGCCTCTTGTTGGACCATCTGCCGCTAATTGCCACTCCATGATGTCCATGACTTCACATTCGTTAACATTTCGGGGGGCCCAAACAGAAACCTCGTGCATTTTTTTTGTCGGAAGATGCAATGACAACCTGCTTGTCTAGATCATTGAGGAGACCAGCAACCCACTGCAATTCGCAACGTTACAGAGTTATTTCAGGTCAGGGGCATCGAGGAAGCGTTGCTGGCGTTGCTCAGGTGCTTCCGAACACTGGTGAGCACCAAGTCTTCGTCTTTATGACCTGAAGGAAGCCAAACTTTCCCACACCAACAAATCGAAGCAAGCTTTGGCATCTCGACGCCTGATGTTTAAAATCGTCTTACTTTCTCACGGGGGAGCTATGCCATGCACAGCAACTTCGTACAATTTGTGTGAGGCCCCATCACCTGAATCTAATTTCTGAGCCATCAGCGCTTCTCTATGATCTCCCGCATCTTCGAGCAAGCGTCCTGGACATATCGGAGCCATATCGAATTATCATTTGTACCAGCAGAGCATCAAATAAATCAAGCTGAATAAGGGAAATTCGATGAAAGTCGTGAATCTCGTGAAGAATCATGACCACTTGATTTGAGCCGCCAGGGCTGCAACATTTACTAACTCATAAGCCAAATAAACCAGCTAAGCTTTTGCATACCGCCAATGCTGCGCTAAATGGCGCATTCCCACTAAACCACTAAACATGTCCTCATCCAGCTTGTAGTCCGTCATGATCTTCTCCGCGTTGGTGAGATCTGGCAGCTCCTCCACCTCGCCTTCAAGAAGCTTGCCGACCTGAGTTCGCGATGTGGGTTTGCCTGCGAAGTGTACGCCCGAAGCAACGGGAGTTTTTGACCAAGCCACCAGAAGTGTGCACAAAGCGTTCGGCCTCTTGGCAAAGCGCAGGTGATACCCTATTCTCTCCAAGTCCTGCCACAAGACTCAAAATCAGGAACACCACAGAGGCCGAGGATGACAATGGACGCTATCTCGTTTGATGTTACATGCCGCAAGCCGAGTGCCGTTGATCCTTCGTAGCCCTGTCTTCCTGACCACGCCGCTTTCGCCAAACCTGTCTGTCGAGCAGGGCTGGCTTGTGGCTCATGAGGCTCATGTCTTAAGCATGCATGTGCAGCTACGCTGCGTGTTAGCAAAGGCTTCGACATTCTGAGAATATGAACATTATATAATTATACATGTCTATATATATATATAATGTCTATATATATATATATAGTATATACATATATTTTTCTATATATATATATATATATGTCATGTGTGTGTATATATCCGCCGACCCCAGCGCTAGTGAAGACCCCATGGCGTCGGCGTAACCCCGCACCTTTCAAGCTGACTTTGAAGGGCCCCCTTCCCGCCCTTTCCCGCCCTTCCCGCCCGCTCCGCCCGCCATGGCTCATGGCTGCATGGCCTCATGGTCCCATAAGGGCCCCAGTGCATGCCCGCCCCCTCCTCCGCCCTTCCCGCCCTTCCCACCCTTCCCGCCCTTCCCACCCTTCCCGCCCGCTCCGCCCACCATGGCTCATGGCCCCATGGCCCCATGGTCCGGGCGGGAAGGGCACAAAGCCAGCTAAGGCCATGAGCCATGGGCGGGAAAGGCGGGAAGGGCGGAGCCATGAGGCGGAGCGGCGGGAAGGCAGTGCATGCCCGCCCCCTCCGGCCTTCCAGCCGTTCGCCCCCTGCCATGGCCCCATGGTCCCATGGCTCTAGCCCCCTGGCCCCATGCCCCTCTCTTCTATCGCCTTTCGATGGCCATATGGCTCATGCCATGGTCCCATATATGGCTCCATGCCCCTGGCCCATCCCCCATGCTTGGCTCCATGCCCCCTGCCCCTCTCTTCGAGAAGCTGACTTTAAAGGGCCCCAGTGCATGCCCGCCCCCTCCGCCCTTCCCGCCCTTCCCGGCCCATGGTCCTCTAAAAGGGCTCCATGGCCATAGCCCCATGGTCCCACGGCTCCATGCCCCCTGGCCCACTCCCGGCCCCATGCTCCTCCATCTCATTCAGGAGCTGGCTTCCCGCCCCGCCATAGCTCATGGCCCCATGGCCTCATCCGTGGCTTCATGCTTGCCTCTCGAGGCGCACACTGCCAACCAGGCGCAGTCGCATGCCAGGGCCTGGCCCTCCGCCCACTGGCCCCATGGCCCATGGTCCATGGCATGCCCGCCCCCTCAGCCCTTCCCGCCCTTCGCCCATGGCTCATGGCCCCATAGGCCCGTGGTCCCATGGCTCCATGCCCCCTGGCCCACTCCTGGCCCCATGCTCCTTTCTTCTATGAGCTGGCTTCGTGCCTGTAAAGGCCCTTCCCCTTCCCGCCCGTTCCGCCCGCCATGGCTCATGGCCCCCTATGGTCCCATGGCTCCATGCTCCCTGATCCCATGCCCCAGTGCATGCCCGCCCCCTCCGCCCTTCCCGCCCTTCCCGCCCTTCCCGCGCTTCCCGCCCTTCCCGCCCGCTCCGCCTCATGGTCCCATACCTGAAGGTGCCTTTGGCGTTTTAGAAACAACCACTCGTTTCTTGAGTAAAGCCAAGTCCAGCAAAGAAACACCTATTTAAAACTGGTTCTGCTACCAATGAAAGCGTTTCATTAGGTGCACCTAGAGTACATGACGTTTCTGCCGCGGCCATATCGACATCTGACGTTTCTTATATGGTCCATGCCTGGGATGCGAAAATCAACCAGTCATTCAAGAAACAACACATCGTTTGTCAGTGCACAACTTGAGCCAAAAAAACTCGAGTTTTCCTGTGGTTGATAGGTCATAAAAAAGATATTTATAGATATGTACATATAAAAATGCTTTTGGGAGTTAAGGCTTAAGGTTTCTAATAATAAGTTCAGCTCTTAAAGGTATATGTAGAAAGCGATCTGGAGCTCCAGGCAAGCTTCTCCCGAGAGTGAACTCTTTAAAAGTCTCTCTTAAGCCTCTTGGGGCCCTAAACTCCTGAAAGTCTCTAGGCTTTCAAATTTGAAAGTTAAACCACGTTAAAGGTTTCTATTCTTCTCCACCGAGAGGGAACTCCCTCAACAGTCTCTTAGCCTCTTAAGGCCCCTAACTGAAAGTCTGTCAGCTTCTTGAAGCCCCCAAACTCCCTGAAAGTCTCTAAGCTTCTTGACGCCCCTCAATTCCTTGAAGTTAGAAATCTTTTTGCGCCCCTAAGCCCCCCTAAGCCCCCACCTGAGCCCCGTCGAACCCCCCGAGCCCTCCAGAAGCAAACAGCTGAGACCCCCAAGTTTCTGCAGCCTTAAACTTCAACTCCTCCACCCCACCCACCCCCGGAAGCAAACAGTTAAGGCCCCCCAGATCTCTGATCTCTGCAGCCTGAAACTTCAACCCCCCTCCCCGCCCCCCCAGCCCTCCAGAAGCAAACAGTCAAGCCCCCCCCATCGCTGCAGCCTTAAACTTCAACCCCCCCCCCCCCCCCGCCCAGCTCTCCAGGAGCAAACAGTTAAGGCTCCCACATCTCCGCAGCCTTAAACTTCAACTCCGCCCCCGAATGTTTCGAAGCATGTGTACGGAAAGGGAACTCCCTTAAAGTCTTTATTAAACCTTTTGAGTCCCCGAAACTCCCTGAAAGTCTCTAAGCTTCTTCAGGCCCCTAAACTCCTTGAAAGTCTCCAAGCTTCTTGATGCTCCTAAATTCCCCTAGACTCATGCAAAGCCTCTAAGCTTCTTAAGGGCCCTAAACTCCCTCTCTAAGCTTCTTGATGCGCCTCAATTCCCTTCTTGTGGCCCCTAAACCCCTAAAAGTTTCTAAGCTGCTTGATGGAAAGTGAACCCCCTTAAAGTCTCTATTAAGCTTCTTGAGGCCCCTAAACTCACTGAAAGTCTCTAAGCTTTTTGATGCCCCCAATTTCCTTGAAGTTTGAAATCTTCTTGCGGCCCCTAAAACCCCCTGAAGTATCTGGCCCTTAAAGTCGCTCTATGTCTCTTAAGGCCCCTAAACTCCCTGAAAGTCTCTGAACTTCTTACGGCCCCTAAACTCACCAAAAGTCTCAAAGCTTCTCAGCTGCCTGCCAAACACAGCATGCACGAGCACACATGACTGCATTCTGGCATAAACCCTGAACCCTAAACCCTAAACCTTGAACCCTAAACCCTAAGCTCTAAACCCTAAACCGCGAGCAAGCGTAGTACACACATGTGTACGTTTGATATGTTTTTTGACATGTGAGCACGTTGTGGTGTGGCCATGGGTCGTGACGTCGTCACGGTCGGTCACGGTGTGTCCCTTTCTACGGAAGAGGTGACGGGCATGACGGGTCGTGACGTCGTCACGGTCGGTCACGGTGTGTCCCCTTGTAAGGAAGCGGTGACAGGTGTGACGGGTCGTGACCAGTCACGGCACGTTCTTGTCTACTTGTGTTTTAAAGTTGTTTTTGGGTGGTGGGTCCGTTCTTTGGGGGGTCTTGCAGTCTTAGAGCTCTTCAGGACTTGGGGTTCTCAGGGTCTGAAGGGCTCTTAACGTCTTAGGGCTCACAGGGGCCTAAGGTCTTAGGCTCTTGAAGTCTTAGGGCACTCCAGGTCTTGGAGCTCTTAAGGCTTTATGGTTCTTAGGGATCTTACGATCTTCAGGGCGCTTAAGGTCTTAACGCTCGTACTTAAGGTTGGAAGGGCTCTTAAGGTCTGAAAGTTTGAGGATTTTGAAGTCTTAGAACTGGTACCATGCTGAGGGTAGGGCTTTTACGGTTTTGGGGCTCTGAAGGTCTGAGGCTTCTTAAGGCCTCAGGTCCTTAGGGCCTTTCCTGGAAAACCCAATGTACGTTTATTCCTAGGCACTGCTGAAAGTTGCTTTTTTTGTTGCAGATTTAGGCATTAAGAAGAGCCCTATGACTTTAAGGGCGTCAGAGCCCTTGAAACCACAAGAGCCCCGAGAAAGAGCCCTAAGACCTTCAGATCCCCAATAGATTAAGAGCCCCAAAGCCCTAAGGCCTTAAGAGCCCTCAGACCTTAAGAGAACTCAGACCTTAAATGCCCTGAGACGGTAAGAGCCCTAATTCAGATCCCCAATAGATTAAGAGCCCTAAGGCCCTAAGGCCTTAAGAGCCCTCAGACCTTAAGGGGACTCAGACCTTCAGTGCCCTGAGACTGTAAGAGCCCTAGGACCTTCAGACCTTAGAGCACATTAAGAGTCCTCCTCAGGGCCCTCAGACCTTAAAACCCGAAGACCGTAAGGGCCCTAACAGCGAAAGAGCCCCTAAGACTCTCAGCGCCCTAGGAGCCCTACCTTCTTCTTGCAGGGCCCGAATTTGCTTTCCAGCTGGGCAGGATTTTTGCGGCACCGTGCAAAAGTTGCTTGTTGTGGCAGAAAGTACTGTACTTTGAAACGCGTCAAGCGACGTAAAGAAAAATGTCGAAAATCAGTGTGATGTTGTGGCAGGTCTGACGGCTCTTATACAGACTTAGGGCTTAAGGTCTTAGAGCTCTGAAGGTCTCTTAAGGCTCTTAGGACCCTAGAACTCTTACGGTGTGCTCTGAAGGTCTGAGGGCGTTTAAGGGCTCTTACTGTCTTCGGGCTCTGGAGGTCTTAGGGTGTCGTCGTGTCGTCGTGATTTCTGCCTAACGTTTCGTCTTGTTGTATCTCAAGGTCTCGCGAGGTCTTCATCACTGTACTCCAAAATGCGGAACAGCTGTTCTCTAGTTTTCTTCCACACGCCGAAGTCGCTTCAGGCAAGCTCCAGCTATAAAGCCCAAGAAAAGCTGCACTTTTTTTCCAAAGAAACAACCAGACGTTGCTTTGTGGGGTTCTTTTGGTGGCATGGGCGCTTGACGTTTCTTCGGGGCCACCTAACTCACCTGACGTTTCTTTCGGTCCACCTACAGCACCTGACGTTTCTTCGGGCCCAAAAAGAAAAGCCAAGCCCGGAAAATAAACGACACACAACAACAGAAACAACCAGACGTTTCAAAAAAGCCAAAGGCATCTCCAGGTAAAAGGGCCCCAGTGCATGCTTGCCCCCTCCGCCCTTCCCGCCCTTCCCGCCCATGGCTCATAACCCCATAGCCCCATGGTCCCACTCATGGTCCCGTGGCTTCATGCCTCCTGGCCCCATGCCTCTTTCTTCTATAAGCTGACTTGAAAGGGCCCCAGTCCATGCCCGCCCCCTCCGCCCTTCCCGCCCTTCCCGCCCGCTCCGCCCGCCATGGCTCATGGCCCCATGGCCCCATGGTCCCATAAAAGGGCCCCAGTGCATGCCCGCCCCCTCCGCCCTTCCCGCCCGTTCGCCCCCTGCCATGGCTCTAAAACCCGAAACCCTAAACCCTAAACCGTAGACCGCTCACTCTCCTCCTGCCTCTGCGAATTCGTCGAAAGATGGCCTGCCATCCTTGTTCTTGTCCGGTTTGCGCGGAGCATCAGGTTGAGGGGTCGGCGGCACTGGCGGTAGCCATTAAATCCGGCCCCCGCACCGCCCGTGGTCCAGGGCGGAGCCCGCGTCGCACTGAAGCGCTAGCTTTAAGGGGCGAGCGCCCGAGCCGCCGACCCCGCCCAACATTGCTTCAAATTCGCGCGGGGCCCTTCGGGAGGCCTCCGAAACGGCATCCAAGGGGACGCAACACGCAGTGGTGCGAAAAGCACGAAAATCTCGTAAAAACCATGGGTTTTTACGAAAAACCGAGGCCACAAAACACCCGCAGCACCCCATTAAACCCTCACGGGCGCGCATCATCGACCCTAGCTTTTCACATGGGGCGCGCGCCAGGCCGAAACCATGTTTTTCAAGGTTTGGGGGGGGTACCGGAAGCCCAAAACCAGGCGAGCATCATGAGCATCAGCAGCCCTGGCCCGCGGACCCAAGGCAAGAAAAAACGCTGAAAAACGCTGAAATCACCGTAAATACCGTGTTTTTATGAGGGTTTTCACGCGTGCCTCCGACCCCCACACTTGTTGCCCTTGACCCGCCCCCAAAGTGCGCATCTGCTGATGCTGCTGATGCGCGGGGTCCGGGCGCATCATCGAGCCATCGTTTCTCATGGGCTTCGTGGGGGGGTCCGGGCCCACGGCCCAGAGACCCAGCTGATGCTCATGATGCTCGGTTTTGGGGGGGTGTTCCAACAGCAGAAAACCTCGTAAATACCGAGTGTTTTGTGGGTCCACGTACAAACGCCCCTAAAATCGCTCATTTTACGCGCTCGAACGGCTTCGTGCCTACAAAACACCCGAACAGCAGGACCCCGAATGCCCTTAAGGGCATTCGGGGTCTTGCTTTTGGGGGTTTCGTGGGCACGCAAGCGTTCAAGCACATACAATCGGCGTGTTTAAGGGGGTTTTGGATGGCCTGGGGGAGGCCGCTGATGCTCATGATGCTCCCTTTCCTGGGTCCCAAAAGGCTTCCCAAGCCCAAAAACACGTGTTTACAGCGTTTTCTGAAGGTTTTTCGAAGGCAAAACGCATGCATAGAATGCTTTTAAGGCCCCCAAACCAACCCCACTGATGCTCCTGATGCGGGTGCGCGCGCGCGCGCGCGCGCGCGCGCGGGGGGGGGGGGGGGGGGGGGAGGGAGGGGTGGCGAAGGCAGGAGAAAGAGAGACAGAGAGAAGGAGGGACAAAGACACGGGAAAGAGAAGACAGTGCCAAGGTTCAAGGTTTCGTGCTTTGGGGGGCGGGGGCCGGCCCGTGCCGCTAGGCCTGAAATATATATAATTGGATTATTTACTTCTGCATTTAAAGGTTTACACAGGAATCATGAATCTATCTGCTGCGTTCACCCATCCCGGGGCCTTGAGCTCAGTCAACCTCGAGGTCGCAGAATCGTCGAGCTTGAAGTTTCCTTAGACTCATCAGGGGTAGGGGGGGATAGGGGGGGGGGGGATAGGGGGGGATAGGCGGGGCGGATAGGGGGGGGGATAGGGGGGGGGGGATAGGGGGGGGATAGGGGGATAGGGCGGCTTTCAGGGGGGTGTTTCACCAGGTGCTGTCGGACACGATGCAAGTTGCCGCATGATTCTCAAGGAACAAAGAACCCCACAGCTGAAAGAAGACAATGACTGTTGACATCAAAAACGATCAACATAAAAAGCTCCGAGCTTACTGTCGGGAGACAGCCCATTAGCGGAACGAGCCCGTAGATGTTCTGATTAGAAAATTGGAAAACCCTGATTCTACCAACTCCCATCTGCATGAAAACAACGGAGCGCTGCCAAAGTTGCTTGCCATCTGCTCCACATCTTTGTCCGGCTTGATCTTGCCAACGAACTGCCCGCATTCCATTTTGCCGACTTGCACCGTTCGCAGCCCTGTCGGACTTCGAGCCTTCTCCTCAGGTGATGCACATCCATCTCGTTTTGTGCGATTTGTGAGGAAGGTTTACACCGGGAATGCTGCAGAAGTAGTGCTGCTATGAATTACAAGACTTCATAAACGGCGTTCCAGGTTCAGCTCAAAAACAAGACCACCCCTCATTACAGCGCACAGACACAGAACAAATGGGTCCTTAGTGCTCTGACATCGTGAAGTTGTGAAGCATAAAAGCCTTGGCCTCACATTCCTGATGATCGGGATCAAATCAAAAAAAATCCTGACCAGGGAGCTGAATCGCGCCACACGTCCTCAAGCCCAGCGACCTCCTTGACGTCCAACGTTTGCCGGCACCCGGCCTGCGCAGCATGAGCAGCAGCGGCTTCATCAGTGCCCATGCATTTCGACTATGAAAGCCTTAAGCCGACTTGGTCGTGCAACGTCGCGTGCCGGGATGGGGGGGGAGGCCGGAGGGGGCGCGCATCCCCCGCCCTGCACGTTTAGGGTGCGGGGTTTCGAGTTTAGACCTTGGCGGCAGCTTTGGCGGTGCTTCCTTGCGGTTTTGGCGGCTGCCTTTAACGGCCTCGGGCTTCCGCCTGCGCTGCCCGCCCATGGGCGTCGCCCCTAAAAATAATATAAAAAAAACAATATACAGCATCATATATACAAGATCATAAACCTAATCAGTTTCTGTGCGGACTGGCAGCAGGCGGCCAAGCCGCAGCGGCCGTCGTCGCGCCATGGGAAACACTTTCAAGTTGTGTGTAGATGTTCAAACCCTTCAAAGCATGCAAGGTGCAACTTGTATTAGCGTAGAATAATATCTTATATATTAGCGTATTATAGTATACAAGCCCCATAGCGGCACCAGAAACATTGAATTTTCCAAGGTTATGATCCTACCAGCTCCTCCTTTCACCCACATCATCATGCTTCAGATTGATGTGTCGGTGCGTTCTTTAGAACAGAAGTTGCTAGGAACGGAAAAACCAATTAGGGGAGCAAGTCACTCCGAGGTTTTTGCAAGTGGAGCGGAGCAGCGGAGTAAGGTCGGAAATGACGTTGAGCTTTGTAGTCCAAGCTCGGAAAAACAACGGCCCCAGTAAACACAGATGCCGGCAGAAGCGAAGTCCGAAGACCACTTGGGGGGTTTACAGTGTGGGTCAAGCAGCTGTCGGCTACGATCGGAATAGGGCACTTATATCAGTCACGCCACGCTGCTTGCTTAGCCATCACGATGACCTCAGTGCGGCTTCGGGCGCACTGCTCGTTGCCACTGCTGCTGAGGATCTACCCACAGGACACATCACAAGAGATTTAATGCAGGCTCCTCCTTGTGCAATCAGATAGTTTCGAGAACGGCAACTTCGGGCAAGAGCTCATCTTTTTGCTCAGCGCAGCAAAGGACCCAGGATCTGCATCGCGCGCTTGGCATTGGGATGTTTGCCTCGGATCATGGAGAGCGGCGAGCGACAGACAACGGAGCGGGAGGCTACAACCAAGGCAGGGCCCAGCTGCACTTGTCCGGGTGGCAGAGCAGGATCATACTCTTCACGGTTGGAAAACCGGCTCGACTCATTCCTAAGATGGAAAGCTTCAAACCTTGCGTGGTTGTAGCATGTGTTGCCAAGTGCTGTCAAGCATGAGCACATGGCAAGGGCTCATTTCAGCCCAGGGACTCAGCAGGATGTCATTCGGCGTGGATTCGAAGTTCAAAGCCAGACGCACAGCAAGGGCCTCAAGGACACCAAGCTAGGCACATGCACGTAGGCATGGGGCCGGATCGAAGTCGGCTGGCGTGAGACAAGCAGAAAGAAGCAACATGTAACAACCGACCTGTTGAAGGGTGCAGATGCCATTTTCGGCATCCGCCCTTGCTGCAGCTTCCAACTCGGAAAGGGTTTGCCTGCAGAGTCGACAAATATTTGGAGCATCTGCCGCATCCCATCGTCAAGATTGCAATGCAACCGTTCCAAGAAAGCCTCCTGCGGAATCCGGCGCCGAGGATGCGCTCGCACATGGCATAGAGCTCCGCCGTAGCTGCGCGTGACGTCGCACGCTCCTGCGGAACATGGCACAATGCTTCAACCCTCGACCTTTCCATGGGACCCTCTCAAATCCTTGCTTCGAGCTCCCCCCTTCGAGGAACCAGCGGCATAAACACAGGCTGGAAGACGCGAGGAACAACATAACTTGAACGTCCTGGGAGCCGCTGTGGAAACGTTTTGTGTGTCTTGGCTAAGCGGAGGCGCGGACCAGAACGCGAAAAACGCGAAAAGCGCGAAAAACGCGAAAAACGCGAAAAGCGCGAAAAACGCGACAAATGCGAAAAGCGCGAAAAACGCGACAAATGCGAAAAGCGCGAAAATCGCAAAAACACATAAATACATAAATAAATAAATACAAATAAACAGTGGAAAACGCCTTAAACAAAAACGAGAGAAAACAGGGAGCAGGGCATGGCGCCAAGGTTGAGAACCCGAGAAGAGTATCCTAGCAAAACCTCATCAGGCCCGAAGCCTAAAGCCCTAAAACCTTATCAGCCCCAAACCTTATAAACCTCACAGCCTAAACCCTTGCCCGATTTCATTATCAGATTCTTAATTAATTGACAGCCACCGGCAAAATTCCAAAAGTTGTCTTTGCCCAGGCTTGTGCCCGGCTAAAGTCTTCATAATTAACGCTAATCAATTACCACTGTACGGGTTCCTGTAAATATTGCTATGATTTACCAGGGCACAGCCCCTGGTAAAATTCTTGGACTACAATTTTTGCCGGATCACAGGCAGTGGTAAAGCATCCTAATTCTTTTTTTACCAGGGGCAAAAAAACACTATTTTCCTAAGTCTTTTTTGCCAGGACAATGCACTGGTAAAAGTTCCTATTTGTTTTGCCGAGGTTGTCCTGAACCCTAAACCCTAAACCCTATGTTGTCAACCCAGGTGTCTGGCATGTGCTCGAAGCTCGGGGGGCGGGGGGGGGGGCCCGGACGAAGTCAACCAGGACATAACACAAGCGAAGAATGCCCTCTCTCTTCTGACTTCTCCCCCTGTCGAAACATCCATGTCACACACGTATTCCGCCCCACCAAAAACCCACTAAAAAACTGATTTTCAACAAGGCTTAAAGGGTCACTATAAGGGACGCTGAAGTAATGAACAAGAATACCTTGACCAGGGGGGGAGTGTCCGTGAAAGCGGTTCGCTCCCTGCTGTCAGAGTTTTGGGCTTAAGGTCGTGGGTTTAGGGGGCGGCGTTAAACCCTCACGCCTTAACCCTCGGCCCTAACCTGCATGAATTAAAATTGTAGGCACGTAGTCTCTCTAAAATTTTCGGGGTTCTTGTTTTGAAGGGTTTTGGGTTGGGTTGCGGGTTCTATGTGAAGAATCCGAAAAGTGATCAAAAGGTTACCGCCCAAGGCCTCCTCTTATAGTCTTACAAGAGGACTGGAGAATGCGAAAAACGTAAAAAACGCGAAAAGCGCGAAAAGCACGAAAAGCGCGAAAAGCGCGAAAAGCGCGAAAACCGCGAAAAACCGCGAAAAACGCGAAAAACGCGAAAAGCGCGAAAAGCGCGAAAAGCGCGAAAAGCGCCAAAAACGCGAAAAGCGCGAAAATCGCGAAAAACGCTCGCTTTTTTTGCGTTTGTTCTTGCTTTTTGTTGTGTTGTTTCTTGTTTTTTTTTTTTTTGCTTTTCGTTTTGTTCTTGTGTTTGGCGTTTAGTTTCTTGTTTTTTTGCGTTTTTTCTTGTTTTGTTTTTTTTGTTTATTTTTTTTTTGTTTTGTTGTTCTTGTTTTTCGACTTTTTGCGTTTTTCGACTTTTTGTTTTTTTTCTTGTTTTTTTGCGTTTTTCGACTTTTTGCGCGGCTCGACGCAGACTCCGGCACGGTACGACGCGCGAAAGGTTGCCTTAGGGGAGCCGGGACCCCAAACCCTAAACACTGAAGTCACTGAACTCTAAACCCAAAACCCTGAATAGGGTTAGCGTCTTGGGCGCTTGGAATTGGAGTTGGGGGATCCGGCGCTTAGGCCGGTTCTAAGTCTCGAGTTGCGGGCTCAGTTGATTTCCCCTAAACCTGGAAGACCCTTAATCTTATTCCCCTATAAAACCCCTACATAACCCCCATATATATATATATGCATTATATAGTCCTTGTATACTTAAGAAGCTAAATAACCCCCATATTACCCGCAAGGTGCCTTATAAGGGTCCCTCCTTTAGTCCCTTGACCTAAACCCTTTTGGTGGGGGGGGGCGGGGGGTGCGCGGCTTGGGGAGCCCCCATGAATCCTGCTGGCGCTTCTCCTCTGCTTCCTTGCGTGCCTTGGCTTGGGCAGCCTAGTCATGGCAGGACAACTTGGACAGTGACCGCTCAAGCTTTCGGGAAGAAACTTCGCACGTTTAATGTGAACGCCGAACGCCTGTAGCTTCTCCGCTTCTTCCTTGGCCTTTTGGCGAGCCTGCAACAGCAACTTGCTCAGTGAAGGCATGTTAGCTCAGTCGGCTCACGACCCAAAATCGCACAGCCCAGCTCGCCTCTTCCGTTTCAGCTCTTGCTAAATTTTCACAGGAGATGCCCGTGTTCGCCATCAAGATACCACTAGCACCTTCAACAGCGGCCTACCAACATCATGATTTCATGAGCATGCCTGCTGCTGGCGCTTCTCCTCTGCTTCCTTGCGTGCTTTGGCTTGGGCAGCCTAGTCATGGCAGGACAACTTGGACAGTGACCTCTCAAGCTTTCGGGAAGAAACTCCGCACGTTTAATATGAACGCCGAACGCCTGTTTGGCGAGCCTGCAACAGCAACTTGCTCAGTGAAGGCATGTTAGCTCAGTCGGCTCACGACCCAAAATCGCACAGCCCAGCTCGCCTCTTCCGTTTCAGCTCTTGCTAAATTTTCACAGGAGATGCCCGTGTTCGCCATCAAGATACCACTAGCACCTTCAACAGCGGCCTACCAACATCATGATTTCATGAGCATGCCTGCTGCTGGCGCTTCTCCTCTGCTTCCTTGCGTGCTTTGGCTTGGGCAGCCTAGTCATGGCAGGACAACTTGGACAGTGACCTCTCAAGCTTTCGGGAAGAAACTCCGCACGTTTAATATGAACGCCGAACGCCTGTTTGGCGAGCCTGCAACAGCAACTTGCTCAGTGAAGGCATGTTAGCTCAGTCGGCTCACGACCCAAAATCGCACAGCCCAGCTCGCCTCTTCCGTTTCAGCTCTTGCTGGATGTTCACAGGAGATTTGGGTTTTGTTTTCTCGGATGCCGTGCGGTTCCTCGCTAAGCCAACATCGAATACGCGGTCGAGTTCATCGATGTATTGATGAATCATTAGAGCTGCTAGGACTGTTCGAAGATTTTCCGAGAACCTTGGAGGAACTATCAAACAAGAAGCGACTGCTTCTGAATCGGATGCATGTCCTGGGACAGAGCGCATAGAAGTCCACCGGCCTTCTCAACTACTAGACTTTTTTATTCGCATCATGTGAAATTGCCAAAGGCTATCGCCATCACATGATCAATTTGTCGATTCTTCTCGCAAGGCATGCTAGTCAAGGTGTTGCGATTTGCCGATGGGACAGAGCTCATGCATGCGCACACTCGCTGGCGAACACGGGACCCTGCCAAGCAAAGGGTGTTGAGGGCTTTGGAAAGCACACATAAAAGCTGAGCCTTTGGAGCAAAGCTGCAGGCCTTCTGCTTGGCCTCTTCAGCCTCGCGGAGGATTTGCTCCTGTTCGGCGTAAGCCTGGCACAAGGGCGCCGCCAAGCCACAAATCACAGAACCCAAATGCAGTTCAGGTTTCATGGTGTATAGGTCCGCTGAGGCCCCAAAGCTGAATGGGATGGCAGGAGCCCCTGAAGTTCAAAAGACAAAAATCGGCTTCTTGCTTGTGATTTGACTAATTATGGATAGGAGTCATACACGGGGCTCCTAAGTAGCGCAAAGGACTTGGAACCCAATTTAGGGTACTTGTAAATAGTAAACCTCCCACTATAGGGCCCTGATAACTAACCTTGCAACCAGAGGGCCCCTTGCTGTAGGAGGAAGACTGTGAACCATTCAGGCTGGATGGGGCCCATGAGCATCTGGCAGCTCACGCCTTCTTCTTGGCCTCCTCAGATTGCCGCAGAATCTTCTCGTGCTCTTGCTGTGCCTTTGCAGTGGCAGGCACGCAAAAAAAAGCACACACACACACACACCCTAAACCCTAAACCCTGATGTGGTCTCCCCTAGAACTACCGAACCAGTCCTCGCCAGCCGCGTCCAGGCAGAAAGGCGCGGCTGACGTTGGGCACAACCTGAGTTGCCGGGGACTGCAGCCGCACACCTGGTGCCAGCCTACTCTGCTTGCATCGGGCTGGCTTCTCTTTCAACCTCGTCTCGGCCAACTGAAGCTTCCTCTGCAGGGCGGCGTTGAGGTCTGCCGCCTCTTTGCGATGCTGCTTTGCGTCTTGGCACCTCGGTGTTCCCTTAAGGTTGTAACAGAGCTGCCCCTAGCCCGCACCTGCGTGGAGCGCGTGGAGGGGCTCACCCTGAAAGGAGGGGAGGATTCGAATCTGAGGATTCGACGTGGGGAACCTCATCTAGCTGCAGCTGAGACGCTCCTCCTGCAGCCTCTTGTTTGAAATCTGCAGCTTGCGGCATTGCAACTTTCTCAAAGACATCTCGACCTGTAGCCTGCAGTTGCTGTCGTGGCACCTTGGTCTCAGTCGCTTGCAGGATCCGAGCAACGAGCAAGTGGGCACCGGATGCGACTGCCATGGGCGGCACAGCCGAGCGGCTCCTTGCGCAGGAGGTCGTTCTCAGACAGCAGCTGGTCGATCTTGCACTTGCTGCGCTGGCACCTTGGCTTCAGCTACATTGAAGATCACAAAATGCCATGCATGGCGATGCGGATGACTCACGCCACCCTGAGCATGTCTGAGCAAAGTGGCTCCCTCCGCATGCAAAAGCACTGCGAGCAGCACTGCATGTGGCCCGGACTTGCTGAGCTCTGTCTGAAGCTGAACGATGTGGTCATCGGGCAGGCAGGTGCTGGCGTCGCTGTTGGCGGTGGCGATGCTCTGGTTGCTCTCGTTGCTCTCGCTGCAGGCACTGTCGCCGCCAAGGCTTGTTTTGCGCCTTGGGTCACGACCGGCATCAAGCTTAGACAGGACCCAGGAAGCAGCGGGGCGTTCAAGCAATATGATTGCGATGTGCTGCCCGGGGGACTTCCCTCCTTTCTGATGTTGTGCTGCCTCTTCTGCAAGGTAGAAACTCACCGGCCTCCAAATTGGCCGGCATGAAGAGTGCACGTCAACAAGCAACAGCAGCGTGTCTGGACAAAGTAGCATTGTAACATGGCGAACATGCGGCCGAAGGAGCAGGTGGGCACCGCAGCCGTCCTTCTCATGCTCCCTGGGCGTCATCCTCAGCGATTACGTTACCACATCGTTGCCAGGTGCATGCTAATCGCGACTGCTACGAGCACGTGAAATATGCTCTGCACACACTGTTGAGAATGCAAGGCGCATTGGAGCCCTGCTAGGTCTGCTGAGCGGCTTTTCCTGAAGGGGCTTGTTCGTCGTCGGGCTCTTTCGCCTCCAGCGCGCAGCCTCGCACCTTGACTGTTGGGTCCCGTGGCAGCTGCGACTTCAGGCTGGGGCTTTGCACGGGTCTGCACGCCTAAACACAAGATATCTGATTGGCTGCCGGCCTCTCGACGCCGGGATGACGCTGGGGCCGCCTTCGCCGGGCCATGGCTGGTGAAAAGGAGCCTCGCTGGCTCCCGAAATGTGCTCTGCTAACATAGGTGTGGCTATCATGGAAATGTTGTAGTGGACTTTCTGAAGCCTCCTGCAAAGAGCCGCATCAGATCTGGCCAGGATGCATTTGCAAACGAACGACTACGGCATCATAAGTTGAAGTGACAGAGATTGCGCACACGGCAAGATGCTTGAGTGACCGGACCGTGATCGAAGGTGCTGCTCCGATAGTGACCACAAAACACGTTCGTGGCTTCGCAGGATATACGTGGGTCAATCAAAAATGTTGCGCCTGCGCCCTATACCCCACATCTGAGAAGTTCATAGGACAAAAACGGCAACTCAGGCATGACATCCCCAAGTGCACAACAGACAAATCGGACAAGCGATGCCGTCCAAATGTGCAGTCTCTCGCTGTTTTCCTCGGCAGACTTCCGTTTGCAGGCAAGATGTGAACTGTTGCGCGCACCGTTTGGGCGCTTGCAGCCCCGGAGCTACGCCTCCCAACGCCCAATTGTTGAAGCGGGGGAACTCGCTGACATTCTGACTGAAGCTGCAAGGCCACAAGATTTTCTATCCCTGTCTACTCTAACTTAATCTAACCTCGATAGGTCGTGAGCCGTCTTGGTCGCCACCGTCCCTCCGCCCACACCCTGCCCTTCCAAATCCATCACAGCCGTCGCAGCCCCGCCAGTCCATGCCCATTTGGCTCGAAGGCTCATGGCGAGGGCTTGAGCCTCTTGAGTGTGCTGAGTGCCCGACGCTACATGGCCATCCTTCCATGTGGGTAATGGCGGCTCTTCGTGGGAAGCCTGGCTCGCCAGCATCGCACCACGCCGCCCGCCCCGCGCCCCCGTCCCCCGCCCTCATGACCCACTGGCCTCGAAGCCCGACACCGCTCGAGCCCACCAGTTTCTGCAGGCACGCGTGCATGCACTTGTGCATGCACAGCGCTGCCAAGCGTGCATGCACAAGTGCATGCGCGCGTGCCTGCAGAAAGCGGCGGGCTCGAGCGGTGTCGGGCTTCGAGGCCAGTGGGTCATGAGGGCGGGGGACGGGGGCGCGGGGCGGGCGGCGCGGTGCGATGCTGCCGAGTCAGGCTGCCCACGAAGAGCTGGCAATACCCACAGAGGAGGATGGCCATGTAGCGTCGCGCACTCGACACACTCAAGAGGCTCAAGCCCTCGCATGGGACTTCAAACCTCCATTGATGTATTAGAATCAATGGGGCGGAGGGACGGTGGCTTTGGGCTTGGTCGAGGACCAGCAGGGCTTGCAATGGCTCAGGATTCGGTCAAGCAGGTTGGAGGTCTGACGAGAGGAAAGTCGGCTGTCAAACAAGCCTGGCTGCACCAACGCCGCATGCCTGGCATGAGCCGGAGGGGCGACGCACAGCCACGGTGCTGGCGGATGGAAACCACCAGCACCAAGGCCCAGCGTCACTACACCTCCTGCAGCAACCCAAGCTGCGGTGTAAGCGCTACCAAGCCCGTCCGACAACCGGCTATCCCAGTCCTACGATCTTTTAGAAGAGCTGCAAACGTTCTTGGATCTTGTGGCCAGCCCTTGCACGCTAGATCCTCACCTCAGGAGCCGCACACATCATGCTGGACCCTCAGCCGTCGGGTTCAAGGCCTGCGGTTTAGGCGCATGTCGGCTTAGGCTTAAGTTTCGGATGGTGGATAGTCCATACCCGATCTAACCCTCTTGCCTGATCGCAGCTGCAACACACCTTCTAATCCAAGCAATGCGGAGGCAGTGGTCTGGAACCTGTAACCTGACCCATAATGGCATGGAAGGACACCTCGCCATCCGTGTTTGTTGAGTTCAGAAGGGTTTTGGGATGAGGGTTTAAAGGCAACACCACCCTCCGAACCCCCGAAGAGGGGTTCATAAAAGAACAATGCCTCGTGACTTACGCTGGGAACCACTCGAAAGCGCCTTCCGTGTCTGTCGCCGTCGCCCCTGGCGTCGTAGGCCCTGCCTGGTGCAACCGTTTTCAGGGCTGAGGGATGTTGAGGGGTTTGGGGCTTCAGGCTTCGGGAGGTTAGGGCTTGAAGATGTTTGCATGGGTTGAGGTAGAGCATGCTTAACCTTGGATCGTCCAGAACTCCGAGTAACATCGCTTTGTTGCCCTAAACCCCGGGAACCCGGGGAGCCCCCTCCCGCCTCGGTGCCAATGTAGATGCGCTTCAGCGTCCGGCCAGCCGCGTTGTCCAAGCCGAAGGCCTGTCAGAGTATGTAATGTGTTGGGGCCTCGCACTCAAGGTGGCTCTCTGTCCGGTTTTGGGCGGTGGGGATGCAAGTGCTGAGGGCGAGGATGTTGGGTAGGGTGCTCCTCTCCTCAAGCACCCACAGTGCAGTGCACAACGGGGGCCTTCCACGACTCCCGGTTGTTGACTTCCTCCAGGAGGTTGCGGGGGTTCTGGGCTTGGGATTGGGGCTCTGGGCTGCGAGGCACAGTTGAGATGTTGGAGCTTCACAAGGCTTATTTTAAAAAGCGGCGCAAGTCACACATTGAGCACTGTGACCCGGTCTTTCCCCCCCCTCCCCACCCCCCCCCGCCCCAAAAAAAAAATCAAAACCTTAACAGCATGCCTTACTAATCCCCCCACTCTCCCAGCCCCACCCCCAACCCCAAAAATCGAAAAGGCCTTGCTGGCCCTTGGGTTCGTTGGCCGGTTGCGTTGGGTTTGGTCTGAGGGTTGCCTATGTCTTCTGATGTTGGGTTTCGTCTATTGCCTTTGGGCGTGTAGGGGGGGGGGAGGGGTGGGCGGCTATGGGGAGTTTCAGAGCTCCCTCTCTTCTTTTTTGGCCTCTAGGATTCCGTGAGTAGTGGATGCCCAATCCGGGGGTGCCAGCACCTTCAAGCCCCTGCTGCAACGTGGTTCGGACTCTACAGGGTCTTTATAGGGTTTCGGGCTGCACATAAGTGCACCTTTTTAAGGTCTGTTGGGGGCCGCTAAGAAACTGAGAGGAACTCAAGACTCAAGAGAGCGAAGAGAACCCGGGCTTGTTTTGGTCGCAACCAGTGACTGGAAGTTCTTGAAACGCGCGCGAATTTCGCATGAAACACAGGACGTGGTACCGAAGCCCCAAGCCATCAACTCAGATAAACACTACACACTTCACGCAGAAGCGACCCAGCGACATTCATGGTCACATTAGAGGGACGTCCTCGCGAATATCGGCGGCCAAGTACGGACTACTATTTCCAGTACTCGTGCTGGACTTGTCTGAAGTGATACCAGTATAGTCAGTTGTAGTAGTCGTCTCCCCGGGTCTGCTGGGCAGACAAGACTGATGCTCCGGCCTCAGGCAATCGCAAGCTCGTGCTCATCAGAGACCTTGCACCAAAGGAACAACCACAGCGGATCTCACGGCGCTTTCTCGTGAAGTTGAGGCTGCGGCATGGCTGCAGTTGCAACAGTTGCAGTCGCAGGATTGCCAGGCCTTGGGTGCGGTCTGGCGAGTCGAGGCATGGACTGAGATGTCAAGCATGGGCCCATCAAGGCAGGCGCAAACTGTGGCCAACGAAGCTGGCTGAGGTACTCCTTGCCCTCGCTGAGCAAGGCATCTCGTTGTATGGTGGCCTCAGAGGCGCGAGAATTGCACTGCCGGCTCCCAGCTCCCAGCCGTCCCCCTGTCCTCCTTCACCACATGCCGCAGACTCTTCAGGGCAAAGAGAACTGCGAGGCCTGGGAGGCCTGAGCGGGGTTCCGCATGCAAGCAGCCTCTCAAGCCTGGACTTCAAGCCGCGGGACCATCGGCGCCCGACATCGGCGGCCACAGGTCCTTGTGCAGGGCTACAGCATCGAGTCCACCACCGAAGGCCCCTTGAGTTTTTGCAAGCCCTGTTGATTCTCAAAACGTTCTAAAGACAAGGGGTGCAAGACCTGGACGCCTGGGATCCATAAAAAGGGCCCGGATGCATGGAACAGCCGCAGCACTCCCCCCAAACGCCCCTCCCACCACCGCCGGGGCAGCTGCGAAGTTGGAGTTGTGCACCTGCAGGTGCAGGTGTGGCTGGTCCGCTTCGGGCTCTGCAGTCCCTGGCTCTAGGCTCCAGCCTACACTGGACTAGACACCTCTCACCTGTACAAGCTTTCGGCTCAAGGTCCTGCAGGTGTTTATGGTTAACGGTTAACACATTCGATGAATTCCAAAAACTCAAAGCAAGAGACCCACGTGGCACAAGTCGCATGGAAACGTGATTGGGACTGAGTTGCACTTGCATCGGCCTCGGTGTTGGGTCGGGGAGAACGGAACTCGACGGGCTATCTCAACCTTCAGACTTTCCTGACTCTTGGAGCCAACACGACCGGGTGATACACGTAGGTTTTGCCAGGAAGGTGTTTCAACGCAGTCTTGCAGCATCGAAACCGTGAGTCTCACGCAAGCCATGATGGACAGTCTTCCACCCCCCGGTCTGACGTCCTCTCACGATTCATGATCAGATTGGGCCCCAATGGGCATCCTCCGCTGTAATTCGCAGAGATTACTACGGTACGCATGCCGAGCAGCTACTAGTGCGGCCGAAATGTGCCGCGTGCGCAGCAGCATGAATTCACATCAACAGGACGCCACTGCTTCCGACCCACTCGAGTCTTGTTGCGGGTGTCTCCGTTGCACGGGGCGCCTACAGCATCAAGCCTGAGACACCAAATCCAAAGCTGAAAATTATTTCAATCCTGCGGACTGCAGGATCAAGCATCTCCAAGTTCTGCGCAAATGATCCTCTCACTGGCTGCAGGCACCTCAATCGGCATTTGGGAGGCGTTCCAGGCTACTGCGGGGGTTCTGCATCGCACCATCTTAGTTTGATAAGGCTCTATCCTGGGACAAGGAGTCATCGATTAATCGCTGGGGTGGTCATCATGATGAAATATAGAAATTATGTAAAGGCTTACGCAAGCCCAGATACTGTGACAACAAGAGCTTGCGCGGCTGCACACCAGCACGTTCCCGTTGGTGGCGTACGGATGCGTACGGAACGTGGTCGAACACTTCACTGGGTAGGGCAGGATTTGGGAGAAAAGGGTGCCGTGCGCTGCTTTATCCTGCCTCCGACCCCGAAAACACTTTAGGAAACCTTGGCTCAAGAATCTCAAGAGGCAAAGTGCCGGAGATCTAGGGCAAGAATGGGCAAGATCGAGCTTGACCAAGCCTTCAGCCCCTGCACAGCGTAGAGGCGTCGCGACATCTCAGTGCCGTCAGCAGCAGCGGCTGCAGGTCCAGCAGCTCCGTGTGGGGCGGGTACTTGTCCGGCAGGATCCTGGAGGATGATGAAAAGGTGGTCACTTTAGATGTCCGGAGTGTCATGCGGCATCCACTTGTTCGGGGCCTGGCAAAAATGTCCTGTCGAAGCCCTTCCCAGATCGACCCACTAGGCGGGAAGCTGACAACGGAAGGCAGCACTCTGAGTGAGGGTTGGAACTCGAGGGAGCCACTTTCAAAGGACAATGTCCCCATGTCTTATGTCTTGCCTGACGCTAGCAGTAGAATAGACACGCGGCTCCAGGAAGCAAAACTGTCCGTCTACATACTAATTAGGAATCATGGTCAAGCAGAGAGTCAAGTGTCGGAACGACACCAGCAGCCTCTGTGTAGTGATCCATCTGTCGGAGACAACACGAGTGAAGCGCCTCACATGCAGAGGAGCTTCGAGACAACACGCGCAGGAGGATGTCCGGAGGAGGGCTTTGATGGGCCCTGCTGTTTGCACTGGCCGGGGTGCAAGGCGAAGGCTTTCCAGACAAACGCAACCTGAAATCCAACTAAAGTCCGAGTTGCTGCGGCGGCTCCATGATGGGCACCGTAAAGTTCAGCTCGGCACCGCACTCTTGCAGCACGAACAGGTCCAGGTGCAGGATCTGCTTGCCGTTCACGTCCTGTCGACGAGCCCTAAACCCTGCAGAAAACACGAACTTTCGCCCGGATGACCATGGCGGCTGCCAAAGCTAGAGCCCCAGCCTCCATTGGCACATATTGGCGCGGCTTCATGATCTGAAGCCACGCTTTGCTGAGTGGTGGACGGACTGTGACCCCTGAAATGCTTGAGGACATGCCTCACCACCTGTGCGAAGTGGGCTGATGCGAGTGACGTGATCATCGCGTCGGGACTCGCAAAGGGACCAAGATTTGTGAGTTTGCAGTTTGCAAGAAGGAAGAAGCTCTAAACTCTAAACGTGGACGCCAGACACCAAGGGTCATAGTATGTCAAAACCCCCCTCTCCTCATGGAACCCTCCTTTTGCACAGAAACATGCCCCGACTGCGCCTGATGCAACATGGAAGGTCCCGCCAGCGTCGAGGCGATAGAATCAACTGCAGCGATAACCGTGGCAGCGCCAATGCTGTCCACAGCATCAAGCCTGAGATTGGCCAAGTGACCCTTCTTCGGGTGGGGGCGGGGTGGGGGGGGGGGCAGAGCCACTCCGACATGCAGCAGCTGACTCTTGACTGCTAGCCTATGCTGAGGTGGGTGCGACGCTTCCCCAATAGTGGCTGCCTGTAAACCGAGCAGAAACAGCAAAGCTGCAGGTTGCACAGAGGTTGGTGCCTCCGCAACTGGGGCCGCATTTGTCAAAGCTGCCTCGGGCTCAACTGATTCTCTGTGCCTTGGTCGTACGAAATCCGGGAAACGGGCCACATCAAGCAAGCGGCCGGAAGGGTAACCACCTTGGCCCCGCCACTAATTCGCGTGCATCGTTCTAGGCATTCTACACACGCGGTCCCTTTTGCAACATCGTCCTAGTAGTTGCCATCATAGGATAGGGAACAGAAAATGCCACCCCAACAAAAAAAGAGGAACAGCTCCCGCATCACACCTGAAGACTGCGGAAGCCCGTCTGTCTGAGTGCTGCACAGCACAGAAGCTGCACAAGATCAAGCCTCAGGCGGGATCGATCCGCAGGCACATGGCCCCAAATCCCAAATCCGATACAAGCCTTAAGCCCTAAGCTCTCGATTCTATTCTCAGGCTCGACGGCCCAAGATGGAAGGGTTTGCGAGGGCTCGCCAGGCCCACATCATTGAAAGGTTGTTCTTTTTTGCAGAATCGTACTCGATGAAGGACGCCTGTGCAGCGAATAGTCCTCCTGCCAAACACTCTGCACGCTCCCTGAGCTTCCGGGGTGTCGGTGCAGACACGGACGAAGTACCACACACATGGGGGAGGAAGCCTTCCTATACCCTTGCCCCTCCCCACCCTGAACCATCATCAACCCTGAACCAAAAACCCGAAACCTTCGTAATACATCCTACACCCTCAAGCACCCCAAGCCCTAAACCGAAAACCCTAAACCCTATAGAGCCGAAAGCCTGAACCATACGACACCTAAAGGGAAAAGCCTAAACCATCGTAAACCCCAAAAAGAAAGTAAGCATGGCGCCCGCTGGGGCCCTGACGATTTGAGGGCCCCGTCATATGCAGCAGTAGGTCTCAGTAGGTCGGAAGTGGCCCAGGCTGTGAAGCTCTCGCTTTTCCCAGGTTAGGACAGGCACTCAATGCAGGGAAATCGATGGGCTTAGGTAGGATGGTTTTCATTCGCTGCAGCACACCACCAGGTCAGGGCACTGTGTTCGCGAGGTTGGCCTCGGTCGAAGAAGCGCTCAAAGGGGTGGTCAAGCCATGCTGAACGTGCGCTTGGCTGCAAGCTCGACGCCCACAGCGCAGTTCCAATCTGCCCAGAAGCTCTTCATCTGGCCACCGAACAAATTCAGTCAATTGCAGTCAGCACTCAAATGTATTCACGGCTCCAAACACTCCCCCATCCACAAGTTCTCACTTCCAGTTCTTCTGTGGCAGCTTGGGCTGCATTACTGGGCACACGTGAGGGGGCCTACCATTGTGAGCGTTTCCAACACACCTGCTGCCTAGCTCTCCGATAAAGAACAGTAAGGGTATTGCCACAGGCGGGTGGGGATGTCCAAACTTGAAGCTTACTAGCAGAGTTTTAATAATTTCATAGGAGCATGACCCTGCGAGTGATGCTGAATTAAACTTGGAACAGCCCCGAGGGATGCCGCAAAGCTCACTTTGCCGCCGTGGCGCGGCGTTGCCAAGGGAGACCATCGAGTTCCCCCGGAGCTTGGCTGAGCGAATGGCCAAACCTCTCAGAAGAAGTAGTAGTAGTAGTAGTAGTAGTAGTAGTAGTAGTAGTGGTAGTGGTAGTGGTAGTGGGAGTGGTAGTGGTAGTGGTAGTGGTAGTAGTAGTAGTAGTAGTAGTAGTAGTAGTAGTAGTAGTAGTAGTAGTAGTAGTAGTATAGTAGTATAGTAGTATAGTAGTATAGTAGTATAGTAGTATAGTAGTATAGTAGTATAGTAGTATAGTAGTAGTAGTAGTAGAAGAAGGTCCAGTGGACCTGGGGAAACGTCCAAAGCTACTCAAGAGCTCGCAAAACCTGCTGCGCAGCTGCAGTACGTTCACAAGCACTATGGCGGGTGTGTTGCTTTCGGCTACTAGCTCAGCTACAACGCCTTGAGCTACGACCTTTGTTTGAATGTCCACAGCTGCAGTCGGGTTGACGTGAAGCTGTACAAAAGCAAGAGCAAACGACATGCAATTGCTACGTCACTGCATCACATGCTACAATGATGCTTGCTGCAAAATGCAACATCACAACGCACGAAGCGAGGGGACATGTCTCTATCACACAAGCACAGCCGCTTCCAGCAGCCCCGGATTTTAAAGAGACATGGATCCCCGATTCCGTGCAAACGGCGAAATCTGGACAGGCTAACCTACGGGCTACTACCTGCTCAACATGCGCGCTCAGCTCAGCTCGAGGACGGACGATCTGGCCCCTTGGGCGGTCCTTTCTCGCGATGCCTACGCCTCGGCTCGAAATCTAACTTTGCAGGGACAGAACGATCCCACATATCAGAGAACCAAGCCTTGTAGGTCTCTACGCGAGGATCTCCCTCGGCCTCTGCTGTTTCGTAGCGCATGACCATTTCAAAATTGCACCTACTGGCTCGGGTGTTGTTGCGCGACCCGGCGTAGATGCTCGTGGTTGGCCCACGGTCCACTAAAAGTGTTTTTGCGTGGAGCGCGCCTGACCAACCCGTTTGTCGGGGGTAGATGAGCGACAACGGCTTCCCCGATATAACGTGGACCTCGACACCGGACTCTCTCAAGCTTTGCAAACGTGGCAGCGAATCATTACATGACCGACTGTTTTTCTCATCCAGGAGCAAGAGAACCTTAGTCCCGGCTTCTGCCGCGGCGCACAGCGCCGGTGTCACTTGGTCACAGTCATACGTATAGGCTGTAGCCATGATCACCTTTGGGCCCGAATCGCTCGCTGACGGCGAGATGTCAACGACAGCCTTGCTGAGCCATTCACTGTCGGGGAGAAGCGTAACGGACGCAACATCTGCGTCATATCCCGTCGTGGGAGCCTTATTTTGGGAGGCTTGACGAAGGGCGTGCTGCGCTCTGAGCTGCGTCTGAAGGCCTGCTGTCCTTGTCTCAGATCGCTCTAGCTCTTTACGGAGTTGGAGGTTCTCCTTTCTCAACAGCTCAAGCTCAAACAGTGTACCGCCTGACACTGCGGTGGCTGGGGAGATGGCACCGGTGGAAACTGAGGGACTCGCGCCTTCAAGCGCGGGAGCATCACGGTTGCTCCTGGGCGGCAAAGAAAGCGCAAAGCGACGTGGGGTAGTTGGGGCTGCAGCGGCAATCGTCACAGCTGGCACACGACTCTTTGAGGGTGCTTATTCGGCATGGAAAAGAAGCATTTCGCCCTTATCATCAGAAGTCTCGTGGGAAAACCCACGGCCAGCAGACACTCGATGCACAATAGCACGCGCCGCACTGTTCAGCCCATCGCCTTTCCTGCCTGACCACTGCCCTCAATGTTATCCAACACCGAACCAATCTCTCTCGTGATCTCTTGATTCTCGGAACTCGTAAGATCACCCAACCTTAACCCGGTGCGACAGTACACGGAACCCCGGTTCCGGTCGTCTCAGCCTCGACATTGGCTTCAGGCTTGCTGCAAAATGCAACATCACAACGCACGAAGCGAGGGGACATGTCTCTATCACACAAGCACAGCCGCTTCCAGTAGTAGTAGTAGTCGTAGTAGTAGTAGTAGTAGTAGTAGTAGTAGTAGTAGTAGTAGTAGTAGTAGTAGTAGTAGTAGTGGTAGTAGTGGCAGTAGTGGTAGTAGTGGTAGTAGTAGTAGTAGCAGTAGTAGTAGTAGTAGTAGTCGTAGTAGTAGTAGTAGTAGTAGTAGTAGTAGTAGTAGTAGTAGTAGTAGTAGTAGTAGTAGTGGTAGTAGTAGTAGTAGTAGTAGTAGGAGTAGTAGTAGTAGTAGTAGTAGTACTAGTACTAGTACTAGTACTAGTTACTAGTAGGTTGGGGCTTTGTAGTGTTAAAGGGAAGAGTCAGACAGTGTTGCAGGCAGCAGACACTTCAAGGGCAGCGCAGCAGCAGCAGACACTTGTAGGGCGTTTCAGCAGTACTTTTGAGCATGGGTCTTAAACCCTGCACCCAAAAGCCTGACGTGCAAGCCCAAAAACCCTGTGTGCTTAAACCTGAAGCCCTAAACCCAAAACCCCACAGCTTCCAGTGGAAGCCCAAAAGTCCTGTGTGCTTAAACCATGGAAGTCCAAAAATCCTCCCCCCCCCCCCCCCCCCCCCCCAGCCCCAAGCCGCCCCCCCCCCCCCAATCCAAGCCAAGCCAATTTAAATCATAAACAATTCGCGCAAGGCTCTCGAAATCCAAGGCCCTCATAGGACATCCACGGCCCTCATCAGCAAAAACATGTTCCCCGCCCTCCCCAGAAAATATAAACTAAGCTCAAGACTTGAGTTTTGAAGGGTAACGTAAGGAATAACACGGCGTCAATTATCCATGACGCTCCTAGTAGTAGTAGTAGTAGTAGTAGTAGTAGTAGTAGTAGTAGTAGTAGTAGTAACATAGCAGTAGCAACAGCAATAGCAACAGCAATAGCAGTAGCAGAAATAGTGAAATTTAAACAATATCAACGATGATAATGATGATGATGATGATCACAATAGTGACGACATCTTTTTAAAGTAGCAACAATAATACATGCTAATAACAGTAGCAATACTAGTAATAGCAATAAGAGTCCATATGCACTGCATAATACATGACATGAAAACAGCGTAAATACAAATACGAAACCATAAACAAAACCACACAACATACAAGACAGAATCACGACACGAAAACACTTAAACAAAAGACGAAAACACTGCAAAGACCTATACGAAACGACAAAAAAAACACGGAGTCGGCAAAATCCGAACTTGACCCCATGACACGAAAACACTGCACATGCCGATGCGCAAACATTTGATTTGTCATGAAGAAAAACGTAGCGTCAAATTACGGAAAGAATGGGTAGTGGTGGTGGTGGTGGTAGTGGTAGTGGCAGTGGCAGTGGCAGTGGTAGTGGTAGTAGTGGTAGTAGTAGTAGTAGTAGTAGTAGTAGTAGTAGTAGTAGTAGTAGTAGTGGTAGTGGTAGTGGTAGTGGTAGTGGTAGTGGTAGTGGTAGTAGTAGTACGCCCCAACCGGGTGGTTTGCCCACACACAGGCTGGTCACGCATGGGTTTGGGCATGGGTTTAGGGTTTAGGGTTTAGGGTTTAGGGTTTAGGGTTTAGGGTTTAGGGTTTAGGGTTTAGGGTTTAGGGTTTAGGGTTTAGGGTTTGGGGTTTAGGGTTTAGGGTTTAAGGTTTAGGGTTCAGGGTTTACAACGACAAGCAGAAGACGCGGGCAAACCGAGCAGTGTCTTACGCCTCAACCCTGAACCCACGCCCACCGAAGCCCTCGTGCTGGACTCGTGCCTGAAACACTCCAAAGCCCAAACCGTAAGACGCGCGCTCGCGCGCGGGCAAACCATAGGGTTCTGCGACGTCCGGAACGCAGGGAAACCCGCAGAGAGTCGTCGTTTATGAAGACAAATAACGAAAAAAAAAAAAACAATGTTGAAAGGCCGGCAAAGGCCAGAAACGCCGCGGCGTACCTTCCAACAACAAGCGCGGGCAAACCATAGGGTTGCACCGTCGTAGTAGTAGTAGTAGTAGTAGTAGTAGTAGTAGTAGTAGCAGTAGTAGTAGTAGTAGTAGTAGTAGTAGTACTAGTAGTAATAGTAGTAGTAGTAGTAGCAGTAGTAGTAGTAGTAGCAGTAGTAGTAGTGGATATTTGATGAAATTTGCAGTGTTGTGTGCACATGAATGGCCAGAGCATACATGTCCGCGCGATGATAGCGCCCGTGCTACCAGAGCATTCATGTCACACGATGATAACGTCCGTGTTACCAGAGTATCCATGTCCGCACAACGCCCGTGTTACCAGAGCATCCATGTCCGCGGGATGATAACGTTCGTGCGACCACTGCGTGCGAATGGCCAGAGCATCCATGTCCGCACGATGATTACGCCCATGCAAAAGCATCGGTATTCTTCGTGGCTGCGTTGCGCGCGAATGGCCAGAGCATCCATGTCCGCACGATGATAACGTCCGTATTACCAGAGCATTCATGTCCACACGATGATAACGTCCGTGCTACCAGAACATCCATGTCCGCACGATGATAACGTCCGTCCATACCAAATCCTGCCTATCTCCTTCCCAATAGTAGCGCGCCTGAAAATACACGTTTCCCCGCTTTTGACACGAAAGCGCGAATCCATGGGAGATACCATGCAATTCGGGAAGTCACACGTGCAAACCGACCAGGCGCCTGGGGGCACTAATAGTAATACCATTAACACTCAAATGGCAGCATGAATCCCAAAAGGTTGCGAAACCCTGAGCCCTAAACGGAGATGTTGGTTGCCAAACCCCAACCCCAAAAAGGAGATGTTGGCTGCAAAGCCCCAAGCCCAAAAAGAAGATGTTGGCTGCAAAACCCTAACCCCCCCCTCCCCTGGGGAGTTAATTACGTTCCTGCCAGTCAATGCTTCACCACACTCGAAACGCGGGTAGTTTGCGTTCTTTGAAGCATTGCCACTGACCTTGCGTTGAAGCTCTTGGGATCTCTTAGGGGGGTTGGGGGGGGGTGGGCAGCAGCCAATGTTTCTCTTTCGCAAGCGGTGGAAGAGGGACAGCCATCTGTGGAAAAGCAAGCAACTGCCGCGAGACTCCCTTGAACCCTAAACCCTCAACCTTACACCCTAAACCCCCTAAGCCCCCTTACACCCTAAAGCTAAACCCAAGAGCGCTAAAGGAATAAGCGACGGGGACGCAAACATGCCAAGCATTCTGAAAACATGGGAAACACGATATAGGATGTTGAGTGCCAAGCCCTAAGCCGTAAAAACATCACAGGGCCCCACTTTCCGCGTCACGAGTAGTTTTGCAAAAGTGGATTTTCGGGGTGCAGTCAAAACTACACAACACACCAACGCACGGCGGTTTACGTTTGCAAAACCGACCAGGCACCCTGAGGCGCGCTAGCCTAGTAGTCCTGGTCGTCGTTTAGGGCTCTAGGCTTCTAGACCTGCAAAGCTTTAAGGCTTGTCGTGTCATCTGGGATGCAGGCTGAACCACTCTCCATCACTGTAGCCGATGCTCTGAAGTCCCTGCACCAGCACTGCTGGCAAGAAAGGGCTTCTGAAAGAGAGTGGGCATTGTGTAAAGGAGCCCCTGAACCATTTTGTGGAATGATGACCAACATGCCAAGCTCAGGACACAGGTGATGTTTGCCGGATACCACAGCCTGGCAAAATCTTGCCGGAGGTGCAAACCGTTTGCGCAGGGGACTCCCGACAATGCTGCAGCATAAAAGCGGCCCATAAGACTGGAGGGACGTTCACAACATCTCTCAATCCTACCCCAAACCTGCAATAGCCCTCGAAATCTGCCAGGCGCGCAGCTGACGCTTGATCTTTTGTCGCATCTCCCAGTGCACAACCTGCGCGCAGACGTCCAGCCCTCGCATATGGGAGTTTCCAAACATGTCCATGCTGTCCTTGAAGTTCGAAGGACGCACAACTCATAAAGCCACCCATGTCGCGCACTGGGGCAGCGGCATTTGGACTAAGCGCGCCCTCTGACCGGTCCCGGACCTGAATTAGGCAATGCAAAGGCCACGTGCAGGCAGGGCTGCCATCTAGCCCGCTTGTCTCACAGGGTATAACCCGAAGGTCATGAGCTTGGCCGTGTGACTGGAGCTGCTGCGTGTGTACCATAGCATTTTGATGGCACTTGATTGTTGTTTCCCATCCCAGGCAACACAGACATCTGAGTTGTTTCAATTTCCAAGTGGTCTTCTACAATGACATGCCTCAGATCGGCGGCGCTGACTACTGGGCACCCGATCAAGATAGGTCATTCAAGTAGTTATGGATCTGGTGAAGAAGAGTGAGTCAGACTGAGAGAAGCTTTCCGAGTTAGCTAACATTGAGGCAGGCACTAGTCACTGCCCAAAGCATCAACATCTCGGCACTGACGTCTTTACTTGCGCCATTGAGCCGTACTGGTGCAACAGTGGTGCCGTCTTAGTTAATGACAGTTTGCAAACTGCTGTCATGCCGTGGCCCATGTTTCAGGCTTCAGAGGTCCTTACAGGTTCAAAATTCGTGCGCTGCATTCCACCGTCCTTTGGTTTGTTGGCTGCAAGCCACGTCTCGATCAGTGCTGTTTTCGAGGATGGCATATCCAACTTGAAGCAGCGCCAATCCACTCATGTGCACAAGTCCTTGCTGTCAAGCTGCTGAAGGGGTTGCCGGGGAACTCCGAGAAGCGATCACTAAGCTTGGTGATTCTTGGTGAGCCTGGCATGGTCGAGCTGACATATGTAACTTCCAACGTGTTCATTAGATTAGCGTGCTTACTTCTACGCACTGCGAGCACAAGCAGCAGGACAGAGCATCCGTTGAAGGCCGCTCATCGTAGGCCCAGGGACTATCAAACAACACAACGCCGTCTTTATGAAGCAATTGAAATCCTGACAGGAAGCGGGCAGCTGGACGGCCCTCGTGGTGGAGAGCGTGTGACTATCTTATTTAAACAGCCAGCCAAACAAAGACATGATGCAAAAAACATGCCTTTGAACTTAGTGCACATGGAATGCTTGTGTGCATTCTATCTCCTGAAATTCCACAAATACGCAGATTCAAGGTCAGGCTGTCCCTGCTAGGGCTGTGCAATACAAGCTGGGTAGGTACCACATCAGGTCATCATTCGACAATTTGTTCTTCCTTAACCGGGAATTGTGACGTAAGCGCTGAGCTTCCGGCTTGTCTTTGTCTCGGCATCGCACGCAGCCGAGACATTGTCCTGACAGGCTGGCATTACTGCGTCTGCAACACAGGTTCCCAGATGCCGATCCTCAGCAGCGCATCTTACCAGGCTTCGAGGAAGCCGTGTCCATGCTGCTTAAGCCAGAGGCTTGCCGTGATGATGTTGTTGCGCTGAGCGATTTTCCCAGTGTCCAAATATAACATGGAGCTTTGTGTGAAGAATAATTACAGCGAAATTGGTTGACGCGTGCCACTGCACGCCTCGTGCTGGAACGCAACTGCTGCAGCGAGGTGCCTCTGGAATGGTTTGACGCGCATCCGGATTGTGAGATTTACCCGAGGGCGTGCTCGAATTGAATTGTCGCTGGGGGCCCGGGAAGGTCTGGAAGGTCTTGGGCTGGAAAGCCTTTTCTGAATTTTTCTGGAGCTTGAACCTCTGCCATATCAATACGTTAAACGTTTGCGACGAGCCCTGGAAGGCTTCGGGCAAGAATCTCTGTACACGTAGAAATGAAATTTCGCGTTCCTCACAGTTGAGGTGGGCTTGTGAAGGTGTAACATTCAATTTGGTATGTCCTGGCGTTGACCGAAAACCTGCGAATTCGTAATATGCAGTTTTGCACTTGTTCCCTTGAGTTCTGCGATGGATGTGAGAGTGTACGGAGAAGGCGTGAGGGCGGAAAGGATGGAGGGAAGTCACACATGCACCTGAAAATTAAAACGTGGCAGGTCCTGATCGCAGGCAGCGCGGGCCGCATGCACTTCCAGGTCCAGCCTCAGCTGCTGGAAAGACACATAGACCGGAGGGAGCAAGAAAACAAGCATCCTATGTGTAGTTGTGATAATATTCTATGCGATGCCAGGAAAGATGCACCACCAGAAATAAATCAAGAGTAATTAAGCCAAGCGGCTCAATGTCGTCGAAGGTGCTGGCTGCGACCTGCACATGTCATGCACGCACCGGTTTCTATAAACATGCACAATTGCCTCATTCTGACACATGGCCAGCTACTTCCGGTTCAGTTGATGTCGGATCCCGCAGAATGAAGCCAGCTACAAGCGCCGGGTTTCTCTCGACCCACCCGGTGTAAAGTCGGCCCAACCCCTGCGGCACACAGCAAAAGTGGCTCCCCGTGCGCGGCAACGGTTGCTGCCACAGAGGAACATCCTAAGTTCCATAGGGCTCTGAGGCCAAAAACGCCTCCTCAGGGACGGCAACACATCGGCAAAGGTTGCAAGTCGCGCCGACTGTTTTTGAACATGGTTTGTCGTCTTTCCCTAGTGGCACGCCCCGGTTGTTACAGCGTTCCCCGAGGGCACACTGGGATTGGGACAACTTCCGCCTTGCGGGGAATGTTTGCAATGGTTTCATGCATCGGAAGCTTCGGGGTTACAGCACAAGCAACGATCCGGACATGTTCCAAAACCATGTGCACAGTACTATAAGACCGCAAAACTCTGGGTCTGACGAAATATAAGATATGTTGGGGATATGGGAAAGTAAGCCCAAACCCTGCGGCACATGGGCTTGGCACGACTTCACCCCGCCAGGGTCGACTTAAACCTACCACTAGTATCATTTCAAAAATGATTTGTATCCAACTCCCCCTGAACCCGCGTTAGATGCTAACCTTAAGACAGCAGGGTCCTGGCAATTTTTGATCCAGAAGGGCCAGGCGCTATTGCGTTAGTGTTCCCCCCTTCCACTACACCCTGTAACGCATGCCTTTTGGCAATAGCCACTCACTCTAGGGAAGCCAGCGCGGCAAGGCAGAGTCATCTATCCTGAAAAATCTTGGGTGCGTTGCAGAATGCGTGACGGATAGAATCCCCAATCAGCTGCGACTGCCACTGGAACTGGGTTGCGGCCCGAAGCCACTGGATGGTCGTGGGGTAGAGCTGGAGATTTGATATCAGGTTTGAGTTTATGGTTTAAGGTTTAGCTTGAATCCTGGACTCATCTAGCCGCTGGGCACATCTTGTTGCACTATGTTTTGCAATGAGAGAACATGCCGCAGGTTTTTGGTGGCCACTTGAGCGAGCACGGGCGGATGTCGAAGGCATCTCTCTGCATAGCAAACCGAGCTGTGATTAGCAGCCGCCCAGACGGTGACACGGTACTGTTACATTATGCCAGGCTGCGTTTCCGAACATGCGCAAACAAACACTTCTCACCGGGACATTGTTCTTGCCAAGATTGAACGCTTTGTCGTGAGCACCTAAGAGCAAGACCGCAATGAGGAAAGAACCAGAGCCCTCAGGTCATTCATCACGTTTATGAATAGTATGGCAAATTTTATCCGTACTAGCTGCTATTGTTGCGATGATTGGTCCTCAAAGAAACGCCCATGCCTCGCAGCAAAGCAAGGCAGAGGTCTCCTTACCTTGGCCACGGTTGACACTGCAAGGCTACCCACATCTGCCTAACTGTGCAGGAAAGCTGCAGAGCAGCTTCCACTGCCCAAAGATGACCGCGCTGAGGGAGCCGGCCATGATGAGCAGGCCGACAAGGCTTGGGCACTGAAACGGCCCGCAGCATTGCAGATCTTCAATGTCATGGAAATCAATATGAAGAATTGCTCAGTTTGTCGCTCTGCAGCCTGCCGACCCTGGAGGAAGTGCCTAAAAGCCCGTGTCGTTCCACTCCCTGGCCCTCAAGCGCTATCATATTAACGCTACAACGAACTCTGTGGAAAACACTTTGCTGTGCTTTCCACTATTATACTAGGCTAGACGACACTGCTATAAGTCTAGACTTTACTAGACTGTAGTATACCGGACTGTAATATATTATACCGTACTGTACCAAACTGGACTATACCTAGACTATACCAGACTAGACTACACTATTCACACTGTACTAGAATACTATAATTGACAGTTATACACCATATTGTACTACACTATACTATGCTATACTATACTACTATAGTATACTCTTCTATACTAGACTAGACTATACAATACGATATGACATTATACCATACCATACTATAGTATTTTATACCATACGTTTTGATTTTGTGTACAAAAACACTTGCCAAGAGATGTTGGTGACCTATCGTTTTCCATGTCTTGGCAGGATTGTTGTGTGAGTACTGCTTGAGAAAAAACATATGAGAAACAGTAACAGCAGGCTCGCACAATTTCAGTGTTTGTTTAATATGGAAATCGAGCTTTTCATTACTGGCTCTGTGCTGGAAGGCGAAGCAAGGCGAAGCAAGGCGAAGCGAGGTGAAGCAAGGCGAAGCGAGGTGAAGCAAGGCGAAGCAAGGCGAAGCAAGGCGAAACTGGGGTCCCACTCCGGGCTTGGGGAGGGGGTATCAGGTACAGGCATGACTTTGATATGATGCTTGCGCCAAACATGCTGAACCTAACTGCGCCAGGAAGAGGAAAAGCAAGAGGACTCTGAGAAAATCTCGGAAAATAGGACTGCTTCCTCACCGTGTTGTGCAACAGCCTTGGGGTGGAAGCTTCGGCGCTCCCACATCTTAACTGACCCATCGTCTGGCAACAGCAAAAAGATGCAAAAAGGGTTTGACATCCAACCGGCGTCCTCCAAGAAAGCCAAGATAAACATGCTATGGAGTGAAGCATGAGAAGCTTCAAATTTCTGACTAGTCGCCTTGCAAACATATAGGTCAACGTTGAGCCGAAACACGTAGCACGATTCACCGCCAACTCTCAGTACGGTGGGGCACCTGCAAAGCAAACGCATCAACACCACACTGCTCACCATGAACCAAAAATCCGGCCAAGACTGTCGTTATACCAGAAAAACCAGAACAGTAAGATTGTGTACATAGTCAGAGCAGCATGACATAGTGTCTTATTTCAAAAATAATGAGAATGCGCATGTCAATGTGGGCGGCCAGCGACCAGAGCTGCAGGGCGTAGCCCGTGCTTCCGCCCAAAACCCTGTGCTGGTAACGTAATCGTGGCCCATGAGGCGGTGCGAGCTATTTGGTTGTGGTTGGATACTCTTCCTGGGACTACAGGCCTGTAAGGCCCAACCCCCTAGCAAAGGATGATTCAAGTAAATTGAGATGTTTGGCTTAACTTAAGCCCATGACAAAAAGCGTTACGATTTGTGCCCTTGTGTTGGAGCAGCTCGTGGAGTCCGGGGCGGCTTATTCAACTGATATATCATTGGATTGAGATGGGACGGATAAATTTTGCTAGTGTTTTTAAAGATCAAAATGTATGTGTTGTGTGCGCGTGTAGGTGTGGTAATGTAGATTGATGTGTACTGATATGTGATGATAATTTGTTGCTGGGTGTTGATGTGCGATGATATGTGTTGATGTCTGTTGATGTGTGAAGATGTGTGATGACGCGTGTTGATGTGTGTTGATATGTATTGATGATGAGTATTCATGATCGGTGATGTGTTTGCGTGGATGCGTTTTGTTAGCGCTTATGTGTGCGTGCGTCTGCGGTCGACGCATGCTGAGGCGTCCTGAGGCAGGCGTGCTGAGGCAGGCGTGCGTGCAGGCGTGCGTGCAGGCGTGCGTGCAGGCGTGCGTGCAGGCGTGCGTGCAGGCGTGCGTGCAGGCATGCGTGCTTGCGTGCGTGGGTGGGTGGGGGTGGGTCGGTTTGTGGGTGTGTGTGTGTGTGTGTGTGTGTCTGTCTGTCTGTCTGTCTGTCTGTCTCTGTCTGTCTGTCTCTGTCTGTCTGTCTCTCTGTGTCTGTCTCTGTCTCTGTCTCTGTCTCTGTCTCTGTCTCTGTCTCTGTCTCTGTCTCTGTCTCTGTCTCTGTCTCTGTCTCTGTCTCTGTCTCTGTCTCTGTCTCTGTCTCTGTCTCTGTCTCTGTCTCTGTCTCTGTCTCTGTCTCTGTCTGTCTCTGTCTCTGTCTCTGTCTCTGTCTCTGTCTCTGTCTCTGTCTCTGTCTCTGTCTCTGTCTCTGTCTCTGTCTCTGTCTCTGTCTCTGTCTCTGTCTCTGTCTCTGTCTCTGTCTCTGTCTCTGTGTCTGTCTGTCTGTCTGTGTGTGTCTGTCTGTCTGTGTGTCTGTCTGTCTGTGTGTGTCTGTCTGTCTGTGTCTGTCTGTCTGTCTGTGTCTGTCTGTCTGTCTGTGTCTGTCTGTCTGTCTGTGTCTGTCTGTCTGTCTGTGTCTGTCTGTCTGTCTGTCTGTCTGTGTGTGGGCGTGCGTGTGCGCGTGCGCGTGCGAGTGCGCGCGTGCGTGTACGTGTGTACGTGCGTATACTTGCGTATACGTGCGTATACGTGCGTATACGTGCGTATACGTGCGTATACGTGCGTATACGTGCGTATACGTGAGTATACGTGCGTACGTGCGTGTGTATACATGCATTAATATGTGTTGCGAAATATTGAAGTGAGCTGATGTATATATATATATACAGAGATATATATATATATATATATATACAGAAACACCAAGCAAAGACCGACTCTCGCTGCACATGAAGATTCCGGAAGGTCCTGTCATGCGTAGAACACCTCTTCGGAAAAGCAAAATCCCAGGCCTATATGTTGGTGCGCGTGCTAACGCGCCTATTCCAAATTCGGAGTAAAAAATTGCATAATTGGGCGCTTTTGAGAACATGCGTCGCATTCAATCGACACTTAAATGGCAAACTCTTGTTGGGCAAGTTCTCTTTCAGAATTCCTCGACTGTGTTTTTTCAAGATGTCATGGAGACGTTGCTTTCAAGTGGGTCAATCAAAAAATATTGCGCCTGCGCCCTATACCCCACATCTGAGAAGTTCATAGGACAAAAACGGCAACTCAGGCATGACATCCCCAAGTGCACAACAGACAAATCTGACAAGCGATGCCGTCCAAATGTGCAGTCTCTCGCTGTTTTCCTGCAGACTTCCGTTTGCAGGCAAGATGTGAACTGTTGCGCGCACCGTTTGGGCGCTTGCAGCCCCGGAGCTACGCCTCCCAACGCCCAATTGTTGAAGCGGGGGAACTCGCTGACATTCTGACTGAAGCTGCAAGGCCACAAGATTTTCTATCCCTGTCTACTCTAACTTAATC